GTGTGTGTATGTGTTTATTATAACTGCTTTTTTTAGTCAGTTGAATGGGAAACTATCTTGTAATACAACAAATAAAGTTTTTTTACAGGAATGAATGGAAAACACAAAACACCCCATATGACTTCACTTACCAGCCCGAGGTCACTCAGTATTTTGTTATTTGCTGCGATATTTTGCGAACGCTGCAGCTCATAAGCAGACATCTCCGCCATTGTGACGATATAAACACTGTACTATTTTTTGTGTGGTTTACGTGATCCGATAAAATTTTTGATAAGTACTTAGCGCTCACTGCTAATTCAGCATAATTCCTATAGATATATCAGCGTGTCAACCATTATACTGTCGATGACATACGACCCTCATTGATGTGTATGACAACTTTGTACATGCTATACATGTTTACATATGCTATTGTTCCCATCCCTACCAGTCCAGTCGAAAAAAGTATGTTTCCTGAATGATATGAATTTAAATAAAGTGTGGTTAGCGTTGGCATTCGAAATCATAGCTGATATGTAGCCTGATGAATACTTCACACTCCTGAATAGTCCTGATAGCTTCTCCTTCATTCAACGTAAAATTGATGACGGAGACCCCGCCAAAATTGCAGAGGCAGCTGGAGGCTTGACCAATCAAGAATACGTATGGAGATGCGCGCGTTTCCGCAGCAAATAGAAATACGATGACCACTACTACGACAGATAGCTATGTATTTCAAAATAATAATAATACTTTTTTATTTGCAGATAGAAGCACATTGTGTACCTCTCGACGGACATATATAGTTGCATCTCAACCGAGTACTTGTGAGAAGAAGAGAAGCGTGACCAGCGCAATTAATAATCTTGTATAGTAGGACAACACAGTAACGGCATATCAAGATGGGTGCCAATAACCAATCAGCGGAAGTGCAGATTATGTCTACGAACGACAAATCAACCGTGTGTAAGAGCCTGCACACTACAGTAAATTTGATGGAGACGCTTACAGGTGTTATTGAGGTTTCCAGAACTCATTTGCACACGGTCATGTGCGAACTGAGCGAAAATAACGGAGACGAGAAGCAGGTAAGTGCCATACATTGCACATACACTACAGGCTTAGCAAGTATATATGTATTTTATAGTTCAGTGTATGTGTATATCTGGTAATAGGGATATATAAGACAATGTATGCTAATTATATATAAATAAACATAGTTACAATATACCGACAT